ATCCAACTTTCTGGATAAGTTTCCGGGCTTCCTCTGCCAGCTCGAAACCCTTGTGGACATCGACGTCAGCTTCAACTCCATTGCCAGCCTTCCCGACGATATTGGCAAGTTCAAGAGTCTGGAGAAGTTTGTCATGACAAACAACCGCCTTGCAGGCTCGTTGCCCTCAGACTTCCGCCGATTGACCAACCTGCGCGAATTGGACATCAAGTATAACGCGCTCACCGCCATCGACATCATATCAGAACTCCCCAAGCTGGAGATCCTGTCAGCAGATCACAACATGATCTCGCAATTCGTTGGTAACTTCGAGCGGGTGCGGAGTTTGAAACTGAACTCGAATCCAATCACCCGATTCGACATCACAAGTCCGGCACCGTCACTGAAGATGCTCAACTTGTCCAATGCGCAACTTGCAAGTATCGACGGCGCTTTCAACCACATGACCAACTTGGAAAGACTCGTCCTGGACCGAAACTACTTCGTTTCACTCCCCAACACTATTGGTAACCTTCGGAGGTTGGAACACTTCAGCATTGCGCACAACTCGGTTGGGGAGCTGCCTGCAGAAATTGGGTGCCTGAGCGAGCTCAGGATTCTCGATGTGAGGGGCAACAACATCAGGAAACTGCCGATGGACATTTGGTGGGCAAACAAATTGGAGACGCTCAACGCTTCGTCAAATGTGCTCGAGAATTTCCCCAAACCCGCCTCGCGGCAGCCGCAGCCACCTGGAGAGGCTACCAACGGCTCGCCTGCTAACACCAAGACGACGCCAGGCCTCCTATCGGCAAACCCTAGCTCCGAGGAGATCTCAGCGGATGGCCAACGTCGGCCGAGCCAAGTTTCGACCACGCTGCTCAGCGTTGGTCCCTCTCCTGTGCCAGGAGGGGCAGATCGAAAGGGCTCTGTCGTATCGGTGTACGGCAAAGGCGGGCGCAAGACTTCGGTGGTGTCAAGCCGCACGACCGCGAGTAGTGCTAACGGCACCGCGACACCCACTGCAGCTTCCAGGAAAGACTCCGGACTCTCTAATCGATTGACCAGTACCTTTGCGGGGTCACTGCGGAACCTATATCTTGCGGACAACCAGATCGATGATGATGTCTTCGACCAGATCATGCTCTTGGCTGAGCTGCGCATCCTCAACTTGTCGTACAACGACCTCAGCGACATGCCGCAGAGGTGCATAAAAAGCTGGCCTCAACTGGTTGAGCTTTACCTGTCGGGCAACGATCTGACAAGCCTGCCCGTGGATGACCTGGAGGAGTACAGCTTGCTCCAGGTGCTTCACATCAACAACAACAAGTTCACCAACCTTCCGGCCGACATATCGAGGGCCAAGAAGCTGGCCGTCCTGGACTGCGGCAACAACTCTCTGAAGTACAACATTTCCAATGTGCCGTACGACTGGAACTGGAACCTGAATCCCAACCTGCGCTATCTCAACTTGTCAGGCAACAAGCGGCTGGAAATCAAGCAGAACAACCCTGGCTTGCCTCCCCAACATCGCGAGCAATATGCGGATTTCAGCCGGTTGCAAAACCTGCGAGTGCTCGGTTTGATGGATGTCACTCTAACCCAACCTAGCATTCCTGATCAGAGCGAAGACCGCCGTGTGCGAACGTCGGGATCACTGGCTGGCCATCTACCCTACGGCATGGCCGACACGATGGGTAGAAACGAACACCTTTCAACTATCGATCTCGTCGTCCCACGCTTCAACTCGTCAGACTCCGAGACGTTGCTGGGTCTGTTTGACGGCCAGGCTCTCTCCAGCGGTGGCTCTAAGATTGCCAAGTACCTCCACGAGAACTTCGGTCATATATTCACCTTGGAATTGAAGGCTCTCAAGACGCGCCAGAACGAGGGGCCCATCGATGCGCTCCGCCGTGCGTTCCTGGCTCTCAACAAGGACCTCGTCACTGTCGCTATCGAGCACACGGAGAAGAGGCCCATAGGCATGCATCGCGGCTCTTCGTCCAACGTTGTCCTCAGCAAGGAAGACTTGAATTCCGGCGGTGTCGCCACGGTCGCCTATCTCCAGGCCCAGGAACTGTTCGTGGCCAATGTTGGAGACGTGCAAGCAATGGTGATCCAGTCGGATGGCAGCCACAAGATCCTGACGCGCAAGCACGACCCTGCCGAGCCCAACGAGCGCCAGCGGATTCGCGACGCGGGAGGATGGGTGTCCCGGCAGGGACGATTGAATGACCTGCTCGAGGTGTCCCGTGCGTTCGGTTACGTCGATCTGATGCCGGCTGTACAGTCAGCGCCGCACGTTACACAGGTCTCGATCACGCCGCAAGACGAGACAATTTTAATAGCGACCAAGGAGCTCTGGGAATACCTGCATCCTGGTCTAGTCGTGGATGTCACGCGCTCAGAACGGGGCGACCTCATGCGAGCGGCGCAAAAGCTGCGAGACCTTGCCATGGCCTACGGGGCGACCGGAAAGATCATGGTTATGATGATCAGCGTCGCTGACTTGAAGCGACGCCAAGAGCGGTCTGCCCGCTTGCATAGGGGGCAGAGCATGTCGCTGTACCCATCCGGCGTGCCCGACGGCTTCCAGTATCCGGCGAAAAGGGGCAGGAAACCCAAGGGCGAGGTGCAGGACTCGACTCTGCACCGGCTGGAGGCGGAGGTGCCTGCGCCAACCGAGAAGCCTTCGATTGTGTTCACGGATATCAAGAACTCGACCAACCTATGGGAGATGTATCCGGCGGCTATGCGGTCGGCCATCAAGCTGCACAACGAAGTCATGAGGCGACAGCTTCGGCGAATCGGTGGATACGAGGTGAAAACCGAAGGTGATGCATTCATGGTATCGTTCCCGACAGCCACGTCGGCGCTGCTGTGGTGCTTCTCGGTGCAAACCCAGCTCCTCGACGTGCCTTGGCCCTCGGAGGTGCTGAACTCGCTATCGTGTCAGGAAGTGTACGACAAGGAGAACAACCTCATCTTCAGGGGCTTGTCGGTGCGGATGGGTGTCCACTATGGCGAGCCTGTGGCCGAGATTGACCCGGTCACGCGCCGCATGGATTACTTCGGCCCGATGGTCAACAAGGCTTCCCGGATCTCCTCCGTGGCCGACGGTGGTCAAATCACGGTCTCGGCAGATTTCATCTCGGAAATCCAGCGTTGCCTGGAGACGTACCAGGAGACGGAACGCACGGGTCAGATCGCTACCGATGACGCGTTCGACGATGACGCGACAGCTTTGGCCATCCGAAAGGAACTGAAATCGCTCAGCTCCCAGGGTTTTGAGGTCAAGGAGATGGGTGAAAAGAAGCTCAAAGGGCTCGAAAACCCCGAGTATATCTACTCCCTCTATCCCCATTCTCTGGCCGGCCGCATCGAGCACCACAATGCTCCGGCCACGCAGGCGGACGTGGCCGACAAGCCGGCACATCTCGTGCCCGGAAGCGAGCTCGGTTTCGATCCAGAGATGATATGGTCCCTTTGGAAGGTTAGTCTACGCCTGGAGATGCTATGCAGTACTCTGGAGGAAATGTCCGGGCGGGGCTTGCAACCGCCCGAGACGGAGCTCCTCGAGCGTATGAAGCAGCGTGGTGGCGAAGTCACGGAACGGTTCCTATTCAACTTTATGGAGCACCAAGTCAGCCGTATAGAAGTAAGTCCCATACCTACCTACCTACCTACATACATGACGAAGACCGGCACTGACTGACGGGATGCATCAGACCTGCGTAACCACCCTCGCCATGCGCCATATTGCCATGGGCGGCGGACCGATCCACCAACTCGAGGACCTGCGCACGCCCATGTCGGTCATCCTCGACGACCTCGCGACCCAGATGACGGAGCTGGAGAGATACAAGGCCAAGTACGGACCTCTCCCCAGCTCCGACGACGAAGGAAGCGATACCGAGCAGGAATAAAGTTAGACAGACAGACCACTGGCCTACTTCTTCCTGTTCTCCTGTTCTCCAACACACACGCACACCTACAACCTAAGCCGCCGCTATACTATACCGAGGCCCTGCAGGGTACGCGCCCACACAACACGAAGCATTCGACTATATAAGTATTATTCACCTTGTAATGTGCTACGACGAAGATATCTCTTAACGATTGGCGGTGGAGGGGGGGTGCACTGGCGTCCTGAGAGCAAGCATTGTGGATTGTGGGTTGTGGGGGGGAAAAGAGGGCGGGCACCACACGGTGGCTAGACCGGCTCCTCGTTTCTTGTTTGCCTCTCTGATACCCGGCTTTGGGCCCTTGGACTGATACGAGCATTGGGCATTGCATCTGGGCTTCACGCACGAGGACGAAGTATACTATCCCGCAGTTGCACACTTGATTACCACGGCGTTCCGGGACACGGGTGGGCACGGACCGCGCCGGCGCCCGTGGCAAGCTGTCTAGGGCCGACTGCGCCAAAAGGATGAGTTGGATACTTGGGATTGGGACGGATGGATGGATGGATGGATGGATGGATGTGGCTGTTCTTGGGGGTTAAACTGGGTGGCCAGCAAGTCGACCTTCTGGGCCACGAAGAAGAACTCGTATTGATCGAATTGAATGACCAATATGTCGCCCGCCTTGCGTTTTCTTTTGCTCCGTGTGTCGTGCGTACTTTTCAGGTATTACACACGGTCATGCTGTCATTGGGAGTACACGATTACAAACCACTGGTGACAGTGAACCAGACACGCGTCTGGAAGTGGAACTGAACTCGGACCCGTACACGAGGTCTCGTCACGGTCTACAAGACGGTGCTGGGTCAGGCGCATATTGCGAGGTTGGGGGTAGAGAGGAGATGCGATATCTGGTGTATCAAAAGGAGAGTGTATCAACATTGGAAGTGGAAGGAAGACAAGAGGAGGAGTTGAGTAGTAGGAGACGAGGTACCGGTAGGTGTGGAATACGGAACGTGCACCTATGTACGTAGGTATGTTAAATAAAGGAGAAAAAAAAAACAGGAAAGCGCTGAGAGGCAGAATCGAACAGAGGACCAAAAAAAAGAGAATCTGTGCGCCTACCGTGATTTGCACACGGGTCTTCACTTTGGGGGAGTGACAGGTTAACTACTACCCCATAGGCGCTTGCAAACCAACTGCGCCAACTGGGAAGGCAGGTGGGAAGGTTGTTGTTGGGACAAGGTGGTTTTACACGCGTCAATATGGGCTTAGCTAGCCGTCCGTCCGTCCTGCCTTCCTTCCTTTCTCTGCCCGGGGCCAACTGGCAGCTACCTTACTTACCTTACTCATCAGCCTTGCGACTTCCCCATGACCAACGCATGGGACTCCTCCTACCTCAGGTATCAAACGGTTTACGGCTGCCTGCTTATGGGAGTTGCGTGGTTATCCGAGTCACATGCGACGAAGACGAGGCATAAGGTACCTTGCCAGACATCCGTGACGTAACGACAGTAGGTATTGTTACTAAATAGAAAGAAACTCATCTTGGAAACAAGTAAAAGAAGTACCTAAGGTAATCAAACTGCTGAGCCGGGGGTATCCGGGGTATCCATCTCGCTTGCTTGCATTTGTCACAACACACACACAACACACACAACACACATCATCTTAACCTAGTACCCCGTCAACTTACTCCACCAACTCTTACCCCTGGCCGCATCATCCTCCGTGAGTCCAGCCGCCGCCTCCTCGTGTTCGCGTTCGCGTTCCCTCTCCCTCTCCCGCGCCGCCTTCTCCGCGCTGCCGTGGGAGCCGCCCCCACCACCCGCCCTCCGCCGTTCCTCGCGGCGTGCACGGCGGCGACGCTGTCCATCGTCTTCGTAGTCGGCCGTCTCCCCCCTGTCTCGGTGCCGCGGCCTGTCCTCGGGTGGCGGTGGTGCGCCCGAGTGGTCCTTGACCCAGGAGCTGGTACCCGAGTGCGGCCAGGCAGGAGGCCTCTGCGGCGCCTGCGATGTTTTCTTCCGGCTGCTGGCGTGCTGCCGCTCGCGTTCGTCGTCCGTGTAGTAGCGGCTGCTGTGGTGTCGTGAGGGTCGGTCCGGCCGTGGCGGCCCGTACGCCGCCGCATACCCGTACTCGTCCCCCGTCGTTGAGCGTCGCCGCGCCGTCTTCTCCTCGGCGTGCCGTGCCTCGCGGCGGTGCCGCCGCTCCTCATCCTCGGCCGCGTCGACAGGGGGGTGACGGCCTTCGCGGCGCCGGCGTTCGGCGCGGGCGGCCCGCCGAGCTTCGGCTTCGGCTTCCTCCGCGGCCGCTGCCTCCTTCTCGAGCTTGCGCTGGCGGCGACGTTCCGCTCGCTCCGCTTCCTTGGCCTCTGCTTCGTGGGCGCCGCGCCGCCCGGATTCCCGATCCCGGGCAGCCCGACGTTCGGCGCGCCGGGCCTCGCGCTCTTCGTGCCGTCGCACCTCCTCCGCTTCCTCTTCTCGGCGTCGGCGCTTCTCGCGCCGCGCCCCTTCCTTGGCCGCCCGCGCTTCCTCCGCCGTCTTCTCTTCCGCCTTCCTCGCGCGCCGGGCGGCACGCCTGGCCTCGCGCTCCGCGTCCGCGTCCGCGTCAACAACACCAGCATCCCGCGAGCGCTTAGCCCGCTTGTCCGGCCGACCCTCGTCGTTTGTCGTCGTATGATGGGTGTTGCGGCGACGAAGCTCCGGGCGAGGCTCGGCACGGGGAGTTGATGACATGAGGCCGCCAAAGAGACCTTTAATGTTCTTCTTGGCTGTCGAGTTCGATCGTTTCAGAGGCGGCACGTCGCCTAGACCGCCTGCATCTACCATGGCGATATCATCTTCTGTTTTGGTCTGGACACAATTAGCAACGCTGCGGTTGCCGGATAGGCTCGTCCTTACCTTAGTGCGCTTGCGAGCCGACTTTTCAGGGCTCGGCTTGGGTTCGCCCTGGCCGCCCCTGTTGACGTCGTCGTCATCCTCCATCTGACGCGCTCGGGAGTTCTTGCGGCTACGGAGCTTGTCGACACCGAAGATCTTAGCGGCTTTGGACGACATTTCAGGCGCTTCTTCTGGTGGAGGGGACGCCAGGCCACCACTCATCTCAACCGACGGACGGCGCGACCTCGACTTGCTAACGCTGGGTCGCTTCTCGCGCGTTGACATAGACCGTGACAAGGGGGGTTTACTCTGGAAAAGACTGTTCATGCGGGCCACTGGCGGCGGTACAGTGGCCTTTTTGTCCTGTCGATCGCCATGGTCCGACGTCGATTCCCTAGAAGATACCTTCTCCTTCTTCTTCTTGTCCTCAGACTTGGACCGGGACGGCTCCTTCTCGTCCTTGTGCGGCGCCGCCGATGCCGACCACAAGCCCCATGATGCGCCACCGTCGCGGTTGATTTTCACGCGTTCTTTTTTGGACGCCTTCGTCTCTGGAGGTGGTGTCGGCGGCGCATCGGGCACAGCCGGGGGTGGTGGTGGTACAGCCGGCGGTACGGGTGGAAGCGCGGCGTCGTCCAGGGTCTTACTCTTCTTACTCTTCTTGGCTTTCTTGTCAACCGGGCCCAAATCAATGATCTCGAGGATCTCATCCGCGTCCACAACCTCATCTTTGAGTTGTGGAGTCTTCTTGCTCTTCTTCACCTTCTTCTCGGCTGGCGCTAGATCAACAATATCAAGGAGTTCGTTCTCGTGCTCACTCTCATCCTTGGACTTGCTCTTCTTACTCCTTTTGGCCTTTTTATCCGCCGATGCCATGTCGACGATCTCGAGAATCTCGTCGCCGTCCCCGTACTGAACATCGCCCTCGCCGAAGGGGAAGAAGCTTTGGGGGAATATGCCTTTCCCTTTACGAGATGTGGCCTTCTTCGCATCTCCTGCGGGCGGTGGCGGCGGCGGCGGCGGCGGTGGCGGTTGTGCGGGCAGCGCATCGAGTACCTCATCAGACGGATCATTCTGGGCTGGCTCGAATTTCTTGAGCTTGTCCGCAAGCTTGCTCTTTTTGGCTTTCTTCGCCGGCACGAAGTCGTCCTCAATGGCGACGAAAGTCGATGGCGCGGCCGCCGGCATAGTTGGATCCTCTAAGACCTATAGTGGTTGTCAGCTGATGCATGCGGTTGTTGATGCTCGCAAGGTGCGTGAGCTGCTGCTTACTGCTTCGGGCGACGGGCTCTTGGGCGCCTTCGACGTAATACCCCAGAATGAGAACAGGCCATTCTCTTTGGAAGGCGACTTCTGCTTTGGCGCTGCTGGCGCTGCCAGGCCCGACAAGATCTCATCGGCTTGCTCCGCCGTTAGATTCATGTCGTCCAGGCCATCTAAGTCGTCCAAGAGATCCTTCGCCAGCTTCGGTTTCGACTTCGCCTCGGACTCCGACTCGTGTTCAGGCTCAGGGGCCCTTTTCTTGCCTTTGCTGGACTTGGTCTTAATATCTTCCGTCTTGGAGCTCTTCTTGGGTTTCTTCTTGGCCACCGCTGCCTCAGACGCCTCGCGCTCCTCGCGTTCACGTTCAGCTTGTTCCTCCGCTTCACGAGCCACCTCTGCTGCCTCTTCGGCTTCCTTTGCGGCTTGTTCTTCTGCTTCGCGTGCTTCTTCGTTGTCGGACTCGTTCGTAGTTGGTGAGCCGCCAGCGGTACGGGCATCGACCTTTGCTGTCAGCTCGTCGAATCTCTTTTGGTCTTTGGATTTCAGCTTCTTCTTGTTTCTCTTAGCTGTCAAAGCCGCCAGTTCCTCATCTTCAGCTGCAACCTCCGCGTCGAGTGCAGCCTTTTCCTCCGCCTCCTTAGCTGCTTCTTCCTCTGCTTCTTTTGCGGCCTCGCCCTCGGTCTCCTGCGCCGGTTGGTCCTCGATAACCTCACCCACATCGGGTGAAGCTTCGGCCTCACGAGACTTGGCCCTGGATGTCAACTCATCATATCTCCTCTGTTCTTTGGGTTTAAGCTTCTTTCTATCCCGCTTAGCTGCTAGGATAGCCAGTTCTGCCTCTTCGGCAGCAACTTCCGCGGCAAGCGCAGCTTTCTCCTCTGCTTCCTTCGCGGCTTGCTCCTCTGCAGCTCGTATAGCCATTTCGGAAGCACGAAGGTCTGCTTTTTCCAGCAGCTCATCAAGTCTCTTCTGGTCCTTTCTGCTTAAGGTCTTCGTCCAGGTCGCGCTCCTCTTGGCTTTGAGAGCCTCGATTTCTTCCTCCTCAGCGGCTATCTCGGCCTCTAGGTCTGCCTTCTCTTTAGCTTCTTGCGCAGTCTTGTCTTCAGCTTCTTGGATAGCTTTCGCTTCAGCTTCTTGCGTAGCCGCCTCTTCAGCTTCGCGGGCAGCTTGCTCTTCGGCTTCGCGGGCAGCTTGTTCTTCGGCTTCGCGGGAAGCTTGTTCTTCGGCTTCGCGGGCAGCCTTTTCGGAAGCACGGAGGTCTGCTTTCTCTAGCAGCTCATCAAGTCTCTTCTGGTCCTTTCTGCTTAAGGTCTTCGTCCAGGTAGCGCTCTTCTTGGCCTTGAGAGCTTCGATCTCTTCCTTCTCGGCGGTAATCTCGGCTTCTAGGGCCGCCTTCTCCTCAGCTTCGCGGGCGGCCTGTTCATCGGCTTCGCGCATAGCCTTTTCGGAAGCACGTGCCTCTGCTTTCTCCACGAGCTCATCGAGACGCTTCTGCTCTCTTTTATGCAGCTTTCTCTTGTTCTTTTTAGCCTCGAGAGCCGTGATTTCTTCCTCCTCAGAGGCAATTTCTGCCTCTAAAGCGGCTTTCTCCGCATTGCGTTTGGCCTCTTCAGCTTGGCGTTCGATCTCTTCAGCTTCGGGTACGGCCTCTTCAGCTTCAGGTGCATCCCCGCCGATCTCCATGGAGTTAGCAGGTTGGCTATCGCTTGCTTTGGTAACTTCTTCGGCCGCGCGCTCGTCTGCCTTCGCTTGCAGCTCATCGTACCGCCGTTGATCTTTCGACTTCAGCTTTCCCCTAAGAGCAAGTTTTTCTACAAGAAAGTCGAGTTCCGTTTCTTCAGCCGCAATCTTAGCCTGCAGAGCAGCATCCTCAGCTTCGTTCGCGTCCTCTTCAGCATCGGGTGCGTCCGCGTCAGCGTCCATGGAGCTAGCGGAAGGTTGATTATCGCTTGCTTTGGAAGCTTCTTTGGCCGTGCGCTCGTCTGCCTTCGCTTTCAGCTCATCGTACCGCCGTTGGTCTTTCGTCTTCAGCTTCCCCTTAAGACG